CGTGGGCTGTATCTCCTCGTGGGCTGTATCTCCACGTGGGCTGTATCTCCTCGTGGGCTGTATCTCTACCTGGGCTGCATCTCCTTGTGGCTGCATCTCCTTGTGGCTGGATCTCCTCATCTCCTTCTCTGTCCTTACTTCTCTACCTACTTAACTCTTTCTCCATCTGAAAAGTAACCAGGACCAGACCCACTCTACATGGACAGGGCTCGTCAACAAAGTAAAGCAGACCCATTTCTCAATGAGACCACCTCCACAGGTGACTTGACTGCATCTAACAACAGCATCTTCAGAAATGTCGGGGTTCAAACCCTCTAGCTGCTCCGCAAAAGAGACATGAGACAATCTGCGCCCTTAAAAGATTTACAGCCTTGGAGACCCTACGGGGGCACTTCTACCCTGTCCTCGAGGGAGTATGAGTCAGGGTCAACTCAATGGCAACAGGATTGCGTTTTGGGTTTTAATCTTTACATCTCCACATCGCCCAGGTGGGTAAAGAAGGCTCTAGGGAGAGGTCTCTCACTGCAGGCTCTGGACCCAGACAGGTCAGCGTTGAGAAACATGCTGGATACATGTCACATGACACAAGGACCGACCACCCCAGAGCTGGCCCGGGCTCTTGTTTTGTCCAATGGCACCAGATTTCTAACCAGATGGGGATCATGAGTGCCCCTCCTCAAGTCAATGACACAACCTCTTCCATGTGGAGTCCTTGCCTGGCCTGGGGAGAGGCTATAAAGATAAAGACCCCACGGAATCTGAGAATGGTCAACAGCAGTCCTTACTCGGAATCCCAGCAGCTGGAAACCCACCCACATCCTTGGTCAGCCCCACCCTGGGCTCAGCTGCCCAGGCTTCTGCAGAGATTCTAGTGGATAAGGGGAGCATCTGGATACAGCCCCTGGGCCCAGCTATACCCAGACCAGACTGAGGCAGGAGGAGGCAGGGAGGCAGACAGTAAGCCGGAGCCTAGAAACCTTCAAGCTGACGGTAGCCTCAAGTCAGGGCCTGCTGCCCCCTCCTTGGACAGACTGCCCTCGCTAGCTGTTCTCTGTCCCTCAGACCCCATCTCTACCATTAACTCTTGTCACTCTGGTTCTCCCTCTCTGGAGATGACTTTGAGTCCTCATGTCCTTTGATAATCCCATGGAATCCTGTCCTGGTCACCCTCTCTCTGTCACCTGCTCCTCCTTCAAGCAGCCTGCCTCCTCTGGGCTCTGGGGAGTCTCTAGTTTCACCCTGGGCAGGCCCGCCCCCCCTCCCTCAGGAGAGGTCCCTTCCTCCCTAACACCTTTGCAGGGTGTGGTAGTCAAGTAGACCACGGCCTTCTTCCTGAGAAACCTCACAATCTTTGCTGTGTTTCAGCTCATTGTTGTAGCTGACAGTACAAAACCATCTCACTGGGGAACTTCTCCGATGTCCCTCTACTTTACCCGGCATGCTGCTCATCCATCCTGCCTTGTTCAGGGGCTACACAGAGCAGGGTCCAGCCCTTCCATTCCTCATCCTAGGCCGGGGCATCACACTGTGGTTCTGGGACCAGAGTCCCCAGGAAGATCCTGAACTAGATAGGCTTTGTCACCTCCAGCCCCTGAGGCTGCTAAAAGATTGGGACCAGGGCCTGGCTGCTTGGCTTTGAATCCCAGCTCTCTGTGTCCTCGCTGTGTGATCTTGGCTAAATTCCCTAACTACTCTGGGCCTCAGTATTCCCATCCACAAAATGGGATCAG